GTCCTGACTTCACATCAGTCGAGCATCTCTTTTTAAAGTGGGTTAATTTCTGTTTTCTTCAGTGGCTCCGCCCACCAGGTGAGAACCAGTCATTTTATATATTATTTATTGATTTATATATTTAAAGGAACAGTTCCTCCAAAATGTTGTCAAAGATAATCAATAACATTATTAATATGTCTGATAAATGAGTGTGTGTGTAAGCAATGAGCCATGAGAGGCCGTGGTTCACAGCGACTGATGTCAGGCACAACGCCGCGTCGTCAACTCAGCAAACTTGTGTACGGATATTTTTGCTGACTTGACGGGAGGTTCATGTGAATTTTCCCAGTCGGGAACTCATTTCTCTGATTATTCCGACACCACATGAACGCAGCGTTCTGTTTCAGATTGTTAAACTTCTTTTATTTTCACTGTGCAACGTTTCATTTTCCTCCAGTCAACTTTATGTTAAACTCTACATTACATCTCGGGCTGTCACGTGATTCATTTACGTCCCAGTTCATGTGATTAATTGCAGATAATCACATGTTTAAAACTCCATTATTTTGCATTTCTAAACAGTTTTAAAGTCCATATTAAGAAGGTGAAGCAACTCTTACCAGCGTGCTTTGATTAGGAATCAAATGAAAGCAAAGAAATGGACTTTATGATCTTGACCTTTAGATTTATTTATTCAGAATCAGTGCTGCGCTGCTACAACAGTTTGGTCTGAAACCATGAACCACTTCAAAGTGCTGACTCACTGTTTTCAGGGTTGAGCCAAAAAGTCATCTCATAGTAAAAAACGCAGCTGCTCAGCTTTTAACAAACACCAGGAAACATGACTGTATCAGCCTCGTCACTGGTCAGCTTTAGGATCGAGTTTAAGATTTAACAGATCACATTTAAAGCACCTTGTTCCTCTTTAAACCTCCAGCTACATCACTGAGATTATTTGTTTGTTTGTTTGTTTGTTTGTAAGCATCACACTGCCCCAGATGACAAAATGCAGTTACTCAGTTAATGTGACAGTATTTGTTCTTGTCAGGAGTTCCAGTTCCACACATTAAACACACATTAAAGACACATTAAACACACATTAAACATGGCTTAACAGAGACAGTTTCAAACACAGATCAGCTTCACTATAACTCGCGGCATTCACAGACAAACACTTGTCTTTATCTGGACACATTTTCACCACAAATACAACATGCTAATATTATTAGCACAAGCCTATGGCATTTTACATTGTAGAAATTAGCCTAGTGGCTAGTGGAGTTTTCCTCTACTTAAAGCCTCACCAAGAGACAAAATAGCAGCGTGCAATTGATGAAAAAATAAATAAATAACTAGAAATAAAAAAAACTTTATGTTGACACTTTTCATCAACAGACTAAAGGAAAGTGTCACTACTTTTTTTTCATCATACTGGAAAATCTGAATAAGTAATGATCTTTAGTGATGGCCAAATGAAGCCTCATGAACCACTGTCTTTATTCTCTGAAGCCACCAGATGGCACTATCTGTTCAACAAAGGTTTGAAAGCACATTTCATTGTCAGTTCTTCAGCCTTTATCTTTAAACCAAGATCGACATCTGGCAGGGGTCAGAAAATAAAGAAAGTGGCTCACGAGGCTTCATTTGGCCATCACTAACGATCGTCTCTGGTGCTCGTGGTTTCAGTAAAATGAACTGAAAGATTGAATTGTGGAGAATCTAACTGAGCTAACGACATGTAACATCTCCATAGGGACACAAGTTTGAACATTTATATCTGAATGTGCATTTTTAACAGCTAGCTAATGTTAGCTCGCGTGGGTAGCCAACAACCTGGTTTAAAACATCCAAAGAACTTGTATAACAATGAACTGCTTGGCAACCAGACCAGGCCTCTAATTGAGACAGATCTTTATTTAGCAAAATGTGTAGCTACACTCAGAGTTGGGTATAACGCATTACAAAGTAATGCGTTAGAGTACTTTGATTACTTTTTGCAGTAACGAGTAACCTAACGCGTTAGTTTGCTGTCTGAGTAATCAAATACTTAAATACATTTTCAAACAAGACATCAGTTACTTCTGTTACTTTTAGAACGCTTGTCCTTCAGCTCCGAAACAGCAACGGCTGTCGTTTGGTTCTAATAACGGAGATAACGTTAAACCTATCAGTCTGAAAGAAGCCACGGAGCTTGTGGCTCGCTACGTGGTCGGAGAAATGCTGCCGTTGTCTACGGTGGAGTCTAAACAGGTGGAGTAGGACTCGCTGACAGACATATTTCAGACTCAGGACTTGCATTATGCCTGGTACACGCTACACGCTGGTACTCACCAATTATCCCCGGTCGTCTTTCACGGCGTGTGTGATGTCATCGGGTTATTCTTGTCCTGTTTTTATTACTTTGACTATTATTTGAGTCACTGTGTGTGTTCATGTGCCAGCTGACATGTTGTTGTAGTCACCTAAAAGCGTCAGCAGATGGCAGGAGCTACATTTGAAG